GGTTATGCACAGTATATATGTGACTGTATGAAAATGAAAAATGGAAAATAAAAACATTTTAACAATTAAAAATAAATAAATTTATATGTCGCCAAATCCCGTAGGACTCCAGGTGGCTTACAGAAACAAGTTAAAGAGGGGAGTTAAAAATAAAAAGAATTTCATTAAAAAGAAACAATTTAAAAACAACATACCATACACTCCATCTGGGTGCGGCTGGACCTCATTCATGAAGTCAGCAGCCCCAGGCCTGCCGGAATAGCCAGGTTTTAGTGGCTTTTCAGAAGGCCGAGAGAGTGGGATGAATTACATTTTTCAATTTTTAATGAAATTCTAAATATATTTACCTTTTTACACTATTATTTCGACTGTCCTTTCAGTTATAGTTTGATAATATCTGTAGTCTTTTCTACACATAAAAGTAGGAAGACAATGGCTTTCTGAAATATACAGTACTCTTCACTTACCAACTAACTGCTTTGTTCAGCACTTACCATGGTGCTGAAAAAAATAGGTTTATGACCATCCCTTGAGCTTACAGCCAGTATCCCTAGAGTTTCAAAACAGTGATTTAGGATTTTTGCAACTACTATAATGGTTGAAGTGTCCTGTGGTCACCTGTTTGCCATTTGCAATCTTCACAACTAGATTCCAACAGGCAAAGTCAATGGGGAAGCCAGAAGGAAGTCGCAAGTCACAGTCACGTGACATCAATCTTATGATTTATAGTGATTTGTTCCAGTCCCTATTGCTGTTGGTAAGCCAGAATGACCTGTACTAGAAGTGTTAAAGTCAAGAAAGCAGAGCAGTAGAAGGAATTTTTAGAAACAATCCCTCCATGTTTTGTTTTTTAAAAACTACTAGAATAAAGGATTTTTAGACACTGGGAGAGATTAGAAACAGAATATTTCTTTGAGCCTTCATTATTTTCTTTTCAAGAAGTTCGTGTATGTATTTTGTTCATTGCATAGCAATGATGATCCCTTCCCTCTCCAATAACTAAAAAAGTGAGTTCTTTGAGATTAGAATTAGGCAAGAAATAAATAGACCACTTGTCTTGTGTTCTTTCAAATGAATTTCATGCACCAGTTAATTATCTTCATTTGTTTCAGCTATTTCAATAATTTTTTCCACATCACATGATCAGAGTTAGTGTTATCACAATGACTGACAGTTACCTTTGTGAATGTAGATATGCTACAGCATAACCACAACAAGAATATTGTGCCAATTAATTAAATCTGTTGTGGGGGAAAAAACTTTGGCCATGAGATTTTAACCTTAGAGGCAGGCAAAAAAGGAAGTATTGACCATTTACTCTTACTAATTACATTTTCATTTATATATACCAGGGTTTTCCAAACTTTGCAATACCTCCATTGTCTATTGAAGATTTGGCAGGCACAGTTCCCCAAAAGAAATTTTGAAAATACTCCTGCTTTGCCTATATGGTCCTTACCTCCTGACATGATTCAATAAACTCATCCAAAGTTACAATGCCGTCTTTGTTTTTGTCCATTTTCTGTAAAGAAAAAGAAAGAAAAATGGAAACATTTCTGCATTGGCTTTGAAGCACAATACCGAAATGCCACAGAAGCACAGCTCTAAGTTCTGCAGATGTCTACAGACTGTATTTTCCAAATATGAAATGATTAAAAATATAAATTTTCAATGTAGAAACACATGAATATTACCTGGAAAAATACTTCTACATGTTGTCTTGGAGCATCTTCCTTCAGCACTGGGTAAGTATACTTGCCCATCATGTTATAAATTGCCTTTACTATGTCCATCATTTCCTGAAATTATGAGAATTAAAACACAAGAGAGATCTCAAATAAGATTAATTTTCAAAACCAATACAGCTGTGGCAATGACACCCTAGAAATCTATTTTTCCCCTTTGAGTGCTGATTTTCCACAACAAAACAATACTAACATTACAATGTTCCATTAGGAGGACTCTGCACATAATACTTTAAGGTTTATTGAGTTCATAGCTGTGATACAGACTGAAGTGGTATTCTGCTGGTTCGCTCCTGTTCAGGGGAACCAGTAGCGGACGGTGTGGGAGGCTCTGCCCAGCCACCCAGACATCATCATGGACACATGTGCAGAAGTGCCATGTGCAAATGAAGCGAGCACTAGGGAGTGCATGCTCCCAGTTCCGAACTGGTAGCAAAGGTAAGAGGATTTCTTGCCTGGATACATACATTTTCAAATGAAAGTTTAAAACATAAATGCAGAGTAATATATATGTATTATGTTATGCATACCTGTGCTTTCATCCTTTCATTAGAAAATGTCTACTTAGTAACTTTGAATTCAATAAACCTTTATTCTCAAAACTAAATTTGTTTGGCATGCCCAGACCTGATGCTATATTTGACCTTGTCAGAGATCTTGTAAGGCACAGGTTCAACATTACTTGCATTTGCAAGACTATGGGCTGGGTTTCTAATAACTATGTTTACAGATCCGTACTCTGAATTGTTATTTCTACATTAGATTCAGATATTTTTGTCAGCAGCTTATATCCAAGGACAGTTTTGCATTAGTAAAGCCCATTTCTCTTTATCCAAGATGGGTCATTTAATCTTTTCAGTTTTCCTATTCCGTTTGCTTCCTATACTAGATCCTTACAGTTACGGAGTGTTCCTTCAGTTCTGAAGACCAGTTTTTAAATTGGCACGTAAGGCTGTAGTTAATAATGTAATTATTTGTTAATGCAAAAGCCATCACTGGATATTGCCATTCTGTCTCATCAATACAGTACAATCGACAATTACATGTACATAAGAAAATGTCAGTTGTGTTGAACGCAACCCTTTGTTTGTCTTACATAAGTAAGTGCTACTCCCCTAAAAGTAAAGTACTTCACCAAAAGTAAAAATCCTGCAGCACAGTAAAAGTTAATACATCTTTTATGACATAAACTTCAAGAACTTGCTGTTCACTCTGTCGCATAGTTCATTTGATCCTATCTATCAAATGCATGCATACCTTAATAAATATGTTAATCCAAAAAGGTGCTACTGCAAAACCCTCTGGAAAATAATCTTTGTGTATTTTACTAACTTGTTTTGTGCATATGCTATCTGAATCAATGAGCCAACAGGTCATTGTGAAGATCTTGGTGCTCTCTGAGCATAGCTGTTTACTTGCAGATATTTCACTTTCCAAATAGGTAATGTCATCAGTGTGAATGAGGGTTGGGTTTTGCTGCCTGGTTATACATAGTCGCTCATGAGGTAATGATGAGGGTGTAGTTTGCTCCTTGTTTAGATCGGATTATAGATTTTTTCCCCAGTTGTTTGTCTGATGCTGATTCTTGCTTCTAGATGTTACTATACATCCTTTAAAAAAGAATTTTTGCAAGGAAATTAAAATATTTCAATCGTTAAAATATTTTAATTTCCCTGCAAAAAAGAAAATAGTATGATTCCTACTATCTGATCCATGCTAGATTTTTGAATAAGAAGTTCGGCTTTTGTTTATTCTCTCTTGGAAAACACAGTATACCCTTCAGAATTTCAATAGAACATAGAAAAATAGAGTTGGAAGGGACCTTGTAGGTCTTCTAGTCAACCTCCTGCTTGAGCAGGAAACCCTATACCATTTCAGACAAATTCTTGTCCAGTGTCTTTTTGAAAGCCACCAGTGACGGACTACCCACAACTTCTGAAGGCAAGCTTTTCCATTGGTTGATTGCTCCCACCATTAGAAAAATTCTCCTTAGTTTCTCAATTTCTCTTAGTTTCTCAGTTCTAATTGAACTACATTGGGAATAAGCCTCACTTAGATTAGAACTTGACTAATATACTCTATGTAGAAACTCTGCTGTCACAAAATTCAACCCAGTTATTGGATGAATCTGATGTTTGCCTGTTCCACTTCAAAGAACAGCACAGAAATTCCTTGCAAACATTTCCTGGCATAGTGTGTGGCTCAGAAGAGATAATGAGCTTGTGTAATTCATTGAACATATTGAGGGAAGTTGTTGCCATGTAAATCTGTAAAGGGCTAAAATGGCCAAGTTGACATATGGGGCTTTGTGCATTGCAAATTTGTCTGTGAGATTATTACTGGAGCCACAAATGTGCTATGTACTTCTCTTTTTGTATTCCTGTTTTTCCAAAGAAATAATTTGCTGAGATGCAAGTCAGAGATTCTGTTCTTCCAAAAAGCTTTGTATGGGACACGACATCCAGCAATCAGCTTGCTTTCTGCTCTGCTATGTTGTTATAGTTTTTTGCAACATACACCACTCAATTCCATGTGATGGTTCAATTCATCTTAATTTTGTTAATATCTATACAGATGTGTTTCCTATGTATGGTGTGATCTGGACAAAGTTAAAATGTCACTGTTCAATGAATTGCGGTTAAAGAGAATGAAGTAAGGTTTAAAGCGTATTATCCATTCTGATGTTAAGATACATAAGCCTCAGTAACAGAGATGAGAAGTCTTGCTCCAGGTTTGTCTCCATTATGTTCACCATCCCTAATTTCTATGTTGAATGGGAAGGCCAGTATTGATCTTCCACTTATGACATTTTGAGTGCTGATAGAGTGGATTGTTTCTGTAAGAATTAAGACAACTTGAAGCTGCCAGTATGAGTTACACAGTGAAAGAAAAAAAAGGGGAGAGACCACAATTATGTGACCAACAACACCTAACTGGAACTCTGATAATTCATCTCATCTCATTATCTCAACTCAACTCTTTTTGAATTGCATGGATAGAAGTAAAAGCCCCTCCAGAAAACCTCTTCTCAACATGGGAAGACTGGTAATAATACAGACACTATTTGTAAGTATGGCCTAAAAACCTTGAGAAAGGCTGTTGTATCTTTGACATGTGTTNGGCTGTATCATGATTGGTAGATTGGTGCTGATTGGTGCTGGCTGTGTGTCCATTGTTGTTTTGTGTTGTAATGGCCTGGGTGGTAGGTGGGGCTCATTTGTTTACCAAGGCTGGTTTCCAGATGGAAAGGCAGGAGGCAACATCACATTTATTCAGGTTGTGGGGGTGTTTCTCTATTTCAAAAGCTTCCATAATTATTCTCCTGTTGAAGTGTTCAGTTTTGGAGAGTAACCTGGTTCCTTCAAAATTAATTTCATATCCTGTAGCTTTAAGATGCTAGAAAAGGAAGGAGGTTTTTTCTTTTTTTTCTTATGCAAGTTTGATCCTCTGATTCTGTACAACTACTTTGCTCTTGTTTGGGATTTGGGCTTAAATAAAATAGAGACTCAAATTTGAATTTATTGTGATAGGAGCTAATAGATTTATTATAAATGTTACATTTCTCTTTCTGACAAAATTGCTTCTCATACTGGGTATAATTGGAATTGCTTTGCTCAGATGGTAATACAAGAAATCTGAAAAGGAAAGAAGAAGAAAAAAACTTGCCCATGTCTGCTTGGTATTCTAATGAGACAAGGGAGGTTAAAAACTAACTTTAAAGAACCACTTGCAGAGACTGAAACCGAACCTGAGAAATAGGAAGTCTGTCACAGACAATGTCTAAGTAAAGGGAAATGCAATCAGTTTTGTAAGAAGAGCTCGTCACACACATTTACTTTTTTGAAAAAGTTCATTCACAAGTAGCTGCAGCAACATGGGGTAACTCTACTCTCCTGTATTTTGGAGTACAGAAAAGATAACTTTGTACTACTTAAAGAGAAGAAGAGGATGATTAGCAGAAAGATAACCCATTCAATTATAATGGTGATGGTTGCATCATTGGAATACTTGAAAGGCCAAGTTGGGGACAGCTCATCAAGGAGAATACCTATCTGTGTGGCTGTTAGGAGTTGAACATGACTTGATGGCACACAATCAAGATTGATCACTTGAGTACAAGATTGTGTAGTCAACAGACTGCACAATTGACAGTTGATCATTCTTTGCAAGTAGGTACAGGGGAGAATCTGGATGCTATGATCAAGACAGTGAACCCAGATAATTCTCTTTAAAAGGAGCAACAGAAAGATAATTTCTTCTTTTGAAGAAAAGTAGGAAATGAAGGATTTTTATTTTGTTCCCATTCTTTCTGAACTGAATAAATTAAAGGGGACCAGATGTTTTCCTATTGTCTTGTCTGTTGTGCTAAATGGGAAAACTAAAATGATATTAATTTATTGCCATCATAATATTGAATAAAGTGACCTGAATGCTCACATTCAATAAAATAAGGAAATTCGATTTTACAAGCTAATATTAACTAACAAAATTAAAATTAACATCAAATTTTCCACTGGGAACCTAATTGAGATGTACAAGCAAATGCTTCTAATAAAAATATGAAGGTCTTCATCACAGTGAAGCAGGGGTGTCAAACTGGCGGCCCTTGGGCCAGATGCGTCATGTGCAGGCTGCGCCCACCTCACCTCAGTGAGAAAAATGTCATGAAACCAGTGGTGGGTTCCTACCAGTTTGGCTGAAATAGTAGTGGTTTAGCGGCCTGGGTCACTAGAACTGGCAGAAACCCAGGCCTACCATGCCCCTGAACCGGTTTTCCGGGCGCTGCCATAATCTTGTTTTTCAGTTCTGCGAACAGCATGCACATGAGTGAACCAGCAGTAGTGCCTGCTGGAATCCACCCCTACATGAAGCGTCATGTGACAGCAAAGTGAGGTGGCGAGTTTGACATCTGTGTTTTAAAGGCAGAAATAAGCTTTTATGCCCCACTCAAAAAGTCCCCACTTTACATATAAAGGTGGTCATTTACATTTTTATTACATATGTATTTTCATTATATTTATGGCATTTTGTTACATACTTTTGTATTCTACCAA